ATCTTTGCCTTTGGCCTTTAAAGAAATTATGGTTTTAGTTCTGGTTTCACCAACAGATGGCACCACTTGCTTATTCTTGTCCAGGCTTTCTTATCTTATCTAATCATTATTGCTTCTTGTTCTTTGCAGTGAGGATGGTGTTCGGTAAAACCATCGAAACTAGTCCTGTGAAAATTTTGAAAATATAATGCTGATTTTTGTTGTTTGACTTCTGAATTAGTATTTGTTCATTCTGTTATTGTGTCTTAATTATTAAAGATTTATTAAAATATTTTATTTTTTTTTAAACCAGGCCCTTTTAAATTATGGACCTTGTTTGTCCAGCACTGAGTAAACATGGTTGCTACTTGTTTGAAATGTGCTAAATTAGAGGCATTTATTAGAACATTAATATTATTATAGCGTTAAAAATTGTATTATTATTGCATGTTAAGAAGAAAGCTGAATAATAATTTATTTTGGCCATTAAAATTTTTGTTAATGGCCTTACCAGTGTGTAAGGCATTAAAATTTAGCCCTCATCTTCATTTCTTATTGGGGCGAATGAGCTGGCTGCATAGAGATGTTTTCTGGATTCCCTCACATATATAAAGCAAAATTGAACCAGTTTTCCTTAGAAAATATTCTACAAATGCATTCCTCACATTAAGCAGGTAACGTTCACAGATATTGTTGTAATTAGCAAATTATATTTATTTGATATGAATTTAAATACCAGTATTAGTAATTTAGTTTTAATTTTTATGCTATAAAAATAAGTAATATTTTATTTGTATTCATAGTTTATATAAATTATAATATTAGAATGAATTAAATATTATTCTTTATACCGTATTTTTAAAAGGAATTCAATCTGAATTTTTAGTTAAATATGTATTTTTCGATTCTTCAATTAGTGCCATTGTATAAGTAAAGCATTATGCAAACTGCTCTGTCTAATAATTTTTTTGAGGAGAAGGGGTTTAAGTAGTGCTAAGATTTGTTTGCTGCTTATATGTGTATAAAAAAGTTATAAAAGATATAAGGAAAAAATTCTTCAAATATATAACCTTCATATTCAAATGTTTTATACTGTTCTGCAGATATTTAAGGTATTTTTTTTTTTTTTTTTTAAATTCTTTAAATAAGCCCTGCAATGCCTAATATATATGCTATTACGTTGTTCAGATTTTGTTTATCTTTTTGTATTACCAAAATTGCCAATTAAATAATGAAAGTATTTAGTTGTCAGCCATATTAGAAATCTTGAGGCTATCTGGTCATTTTTCCTTTTGAATGTCATCAGAATTTGAAAGCAGTGCAGTTGTCATTAAAGCCTTTTTCAGGACATACTATGAAATGAAGAATACCATTTTTATAGAAATATTTTTCTTTAAAGTTACTAATCAGTTTTCTATTTGGGATATTATCCACCAAATCTGATTCATTATTAAAGCAGATAAGCAGCTTGTAATTTTCGTGACAACTTAGAAGTCTTTGTAATCATTGTCAGTAGTTTTTGTTTGAAAGCTCCCTTAAGATTGATTTACAAAATTACAAGTAAATTATGTGTACAAACAATTATCAGTACAGATAACAGTTAAAAAAAGAGGTATGTATAGGCTGAAATTTATGTGAAATATAATAAACAGAAAATGTTTAAGTGTTTTCTCTGTATTAAATTTTTTAGCATTTTAAACCTTGTTCAACTAATAAATTATAACTAATACTATATGTTTTTTCTGAGTATCTGCATCTCTGTGAAAAGTCACCAACTCATTGGTGCCTTTATGAATTGGCAAAAAAAAATGTTTCTTTAGTTAATATTACAGCTCATAAGTATTGTTTTATTCAATAATAAAAAGAAGCATTTTATAAGAAAAAAAAAAAAAAAAAAAATTCAAGAGGGAAATAAAAATTTTTGCTTTCTGAATATCTGTAGCCCTTTGAAAAGCATTGATAAAGCAATGCAATGTGTAGACATGACATCTACACATTGCACTGCTTGACCTCCATGACACTGGCAAAATGTAATTATGTGGCAATGCATGTATGTGTGTGTGCATAGTAGATGAGCACTGATTTTCAAAGAAGATCATATTTCCATCTTCATATTTTGTGGTCTGTTTTTGTTACATTAAATGCATCTTTATTTGTTTCCTCTTAAGGAGACATAATAGAATTGTGGAGTTTGCCAGCTGATGAAAAAGGAAGCATTGCATTTCTTGAGAAATGTGGCATTTTGCCTAACAAAATATTCATATTCCGGGAAGCCATAGTTCTTTAACTATCAAATTTTATGAGCCAAAATTTAGGCAATTCTCTGATATTCTTTTAAGTGCATAATATATGCTTGTGTGTGTTGGCAAACTTGAAAATACACCAAAATCGTGGCAGTTCTGCTGGATGTTGGAATCAAATAATCAGAAAGTCACATAGTATATTAAAAAAGTCTTTACTAATGTAAAATTATTATTATTTCCGCATTGATGTTTTCAGTTTTAATTGGGAATTAAAAAAAATTGCTTGTTTTTAGAATACTTCAGGAGAAATATTTCAGTCTGCAATGATTATATTGTAGGAAATTTTAGAAAAAAAAATTTTTTTTTTTTTTTTTTTATTATTATTTGGGCTGCTCATAGTTTTATTGTGAATGCATTAATGATAAAGTTTGTTTTCAGTTTCCTTTAAGAAAAAATTTAGTTTCCTAATTTTCAGTCAATTTCAGTTAATATTTTTGATTAAGTTATTGGTAAAGCATTTGCTGTGTGGTTTTTTTTTTTTTTTTTTTTTTATATATAGTGTATGTATATATTACTGAGTAGACTGGCTATTTACATGCTTGTGTTTCCAAATGAGAATATTTCCAAGTTGCTATGTAAACATGTAGTTTTTCAAGTTTGACATGATTATTAAAAGAAAAAATCTGATGTGTACACTACATGACTTCCTTGTACGGAATATTAAATTTACGCAATTTTTAATTTCATTTAAATGATTGGATGATAAATCTACTTCGTCACAGCGCATAACCACAATAATAAAATGCACTCTTTAAAATTCTCATATTTTCTATAACGACACTCTGAAGTACAAAATTTATATCATTGAGAATTATCGTTGCCACAGTTCTATTCAAATACTATAATAAGCTAAAATGATGTATGAAAGAAATAAGCAAACAAAACCAAAAAGAAACAGTTTTCACAAGACGATTAGTATTTCTATTAATTAATTCAGCTCTCACTTCGCGACAAGGCAAAAAACTAAAACTCAAAATTCTGCATTAAAATTACGAAGTAAATCTTAAGCCTTATTTCCTCAAAAAAATTCCAGAAAGGATTAAGCATGATTAATTTGCAAATAATATGAAGGCGTTATTTTTGTGTGCGAAAGCATAGTCTCTCTAGATGGGCACAAATCTACAACTCTGTGTTTCAAATGTAAAAAGATATGTCCACCATGTTATTTAAAACTTAACGGCACTAACAGCTTTTAATTGATAATTGTACAAATATTGCTTCCAGAATTACGAAAAGGCAATAAAAACCGTAACAGAAGATAAAAAAACATAATTCAATCACTTTTAAAGAAAAAACTGCACAATTTTCCAACATATAAGAATAAAAAACTGAGCTTAGAGATGCAAGTAACAGAGTAGGCACATATATATTTATATACGTTTGGGCAGCCGATTTCAACCAAAATGCGAGGTGCTAATCTACATGTTATAGCAATCCTATATACAACATTTGAATGTTCTGAGGCTACTCGATTTTGACTTATGCAAGATACGTAAGTACGTACATACATTCGTACAGACGCCACAAAAAATTCTCTTCAGAATTTATTTTAAAGGAGTTTTATAATTTTTTTGGAGGGAAGGTGTCTTTTATTCTGTCCTTACACACAGATATCATGCAAAAACATCGTAAATTACATTCGAAAGCGGTCAAAGTGGATATTTTCGTTGAAATATGCTGCCTGAAGCTTTTCGCAATTACAATACTTCCTTTTTACTTCATACAAGGAAGTAAAAAAAAATAGTGTTAATCATGGATAGGAATTTTTTTAATGTCAAAATCGCAGATATCAAGCGTAATTGAATTAATAATTTGCAGTAATTGTGTAGCAATTAATTTTTTATTGTCTAGCTTTTAGATTTTGAATTTGCTTCAGTATTATTCAAGAATGAATTTCAGTAGAGAAAGACTGAGCTATTGTGAATATTCTCAAATGGGAATTTGGCAGAGCTATGTTAATTTTTTACTCCCACAGTATTAATGTTTTAGGCTCCAATTAAGTAATAATAATATAATATTCAGAAAATTTTATTAAAATTTTAACTATAACTGAATTTGACAAACAAGCAAGTATACAATATGGTCTACTAAATATGCACGGATATCATTTAAACTTAGCTATGTAAAAAATTCTATTGATCAGGTATTAGACTTGTGTCTTAAGTTTGCTGATTGGCACTTACAGCATAATTATCAAACTGAATACTGAAGATTAAAATTATTTGCATAAAACCATGTTATTTTTCTTAGCTTTGCTGCAAGTTTTGGATGACTTGCCCACTTTGTTAGACAGAACTTTAAATTTCTAAATTATACTTACCAGCAGAATACTGCAATAAATATATGCATTTCAAGCTAGAATACAAGATTATCTAATCTTTTAAAATCTTTTCTGTATTTTCACGGATTATTTATTTCAGAAGCAGCATTTGAAAGTTGTAATGTTTGAAAAATTCTGTAAAATGTATTTGAATTCAATAAAATTTATCAACAAACATTACTTTAATGTGTATAATTGTATGTAATAGCACATTGATTTTATTTCCTGTCTGTTATTCAAATTTGTATTACTTTCATTAAAATAAAATTGCAGTTCCTTTTCCTATTTAATAGCTTTTTTATTTATTTATTTTTTATGCAGTTTACTTGATGTTCCTGAAGTTTCTACATAAATATTTTTTATAGTTTTAATTATTAAATTTTTTCCTCCTTTTTTAGATATCATATCAGGAAGAGCTGGAACTGGTAGTCTTAATATTTATCGACATCATCGCCAAGGTTCCATAAGCAGTGACCGACAGTCAATTCATTCTCTTCTCACTGCCAACTTAGCTATGGATTCTGGAGCTTCTGCCCTGTTATCCCCTCAACAGCTGGGAACTATGGGTAATTTTTAGTCTTAGAAATTTATAATTAAAGTGTTTGCTAATTTAATATAGCAGCTTTTAATACTTCTAAAAACATTGCAGCAGATTTACTACTAATTCCTTAAATTTGGAATATATATACTTTCTGTTTACATCTTGCTAAGATGTAAAATAGTTCCTTTTCTATTTGTTAAGAGATTTAGAATTATTAGACTAATTTGAGAGCTGAAACTTGACGATTTTATTGTTGTAAGAAATAAACTGAGAGGTTCAAATTCTGAAATGTATTTTGAAGTCCCTGTGGCAATACTGTTGTTGTTGTTATACACTTTTAATGTTTCAAAGTTTTAATTCTTCATGGAAATCATACTTTAGGGTGTAGCTTCAATTTTTTTTTTCTCTTAACTCTTCAAGATGCACAGTAGCATGCATTGTTTATTAGTGACTCAAACATTTTTCATTGAAATTACATTTTGGGTGTAGCTTTTATTTCGTCCTTAATATTTTAAGATGTGCAGTAAATTTTATAACATACAGTTAGTTATGCAGTGCACTATTTAGAACACTCTGTTCATTGTAGAGTGCATTTCCATATTATTTATTTTTTTCCATAATGTTATAATTTTTATTTAGTTCTTTTACTTAAGATAGTTATAGTTTTATTAATATTACCTACTTGTTGTATATTTAAAACACAAAATCTGTGATTTACTACAAAAGACCAAAGAATTTCTTTCAATATGAACTTTTTATGCAATTCGATTGTACTGTAAGTCCTGTGTAATTCTTAGTACAATTTTTGCTGTTTTGTAAATCACACTGCTGTCTGTTATTAAAAATATATATAAGTAGAAAGATAACATTAACTAGAGAGACCTTAGTGGTCAAAAATTTTGCACATTAAGCTGCAAAATTTTTAAAATTTTTTAAAGAAGAGGATTGTTTAAAAGCTAATGCTAAAAAATACATTTGACACTGTAGTTCCTGAGCAAAAATGTAATATCATGTGACAACAACAAACAATACTAAAGAAGTAAAAGGCTATTGCGTGAAAACTAAATTTAAAAATCACAAAATGAGATAACTTCAAAATCAAAAAGGGTGAGAAAAAATTAATATATCAATTTCTTGAGAAAAAAAGCAAAAATAGCATATAATGAGCATTTCTTTACTTTGTATGCAATGAATTATTTTCCTTGTATTATGAAATATTTTATAAAATTATAGGTATGGAAGCATTGGAAACAGCTATAGCATATTGGGAAGATGCTTTAGCTGCTTACAGACCTCCACCTGGAGATATTTTAGCTCTTACTGTAAGTGATAAAAGACCTACTTAAAATAATTTATATTGTTATTTATTTTAAGAGTGTCTTAATTGGAGCAATTAATAATTTTCACTGTAAATCTGTAACCATAAAAAAATATCAAAATATATTAATGAATCATGTATAATTTAACAAAATGTATTTTTACATTTTAATAATTTATGGTAATTTTTGGTTTGTGGGGTACCAGTCACCAAATATGCCCCAAATGTTTTATATTGTCATGAATATTTATGCAGTGTTTAATTACCACATTGCCAAGGCTATGAACGATACCAAATTTCTGAAACTCTCTGATGTATTGTCACATAACAGAGAACTACGGAAATTCAACATGGCACACATTTAACATCATAATATTATGTGATAAATTAACTGTTATTACATTTTTAATGAAGTTTTGTGTATCATTAAAGTTGCCACCATCTAGTTAGATTTCACACCAACATTTTTGTGCAAGACTAAATGAACTCTGTTAATAGAAAAGTGCCTAATTTATTTTTTCTTTCTAAGTTCTGAAGGCAAAATATTATCCAGTCACAAAAGCTTGACAGTGTGTATATTCATATTATGAATGGAAAAATTATTTTTGATTTAAATGCATACTGCAATTTAAATAAATCTTTTATCTCACCATATGTATGAAAACACAGCTTTAGCTTTTCCATGAGATGAATGCATTTACTTATTTAAAATGCATATGTGAAAATATTTAATATATTTTCTTATACAAATGGGGGTTTCAACTGAGTGGCAACTTGTTATAATACAGTGATGGGAAATTTAAGATGTACATTTTGTGAATGCTTCCTAACAAAATGTATTACTTGCCCTAATGGGCAATGAAACTGTGAGTTAATGTTTATTTCATCTCCAAGCAATAATACTGTATTCCCTCACTCCAGCTTTTAGCACTTCATTCTGAAAATTTAGAAAATATTCGCATAATTTTCTGCTTCCTCTGCTGTAAATAATTTTTATCTTTGAGGGCTAATTTATTGGTAAATTGTGTTCCTTTGATTATTTTAATTTTTATTCAGGGTATTCAGTTTGTATTAGCATTTCTCTCATTTTATTTTCTATTGCATTAATTATGTCTGCAGATTCTCAGTTAATTTACAATGTGGCAGGTGTTCTCACACTTAAAGATACTTTCCAAGTATATGATTTCACCTTACTTATGTTATTTACATTCTAGCTCATTTTAGACTAAATCTGTTACTGATGTGTTCAATCTTTTCAAATCCAGGTCTTTTGTTCGCTCTCCTTCATTCCTCTGATATCCCTCATGGGAACTGCAGTCATAGCTCATTCCTCTGCGGTATCCTTGGGGCTTTACAAGTTAATTGAGCCATACGCAACATGTTCCGGCTCAATTACCATCAGATATCAGCTCAATATGCATCCCATATTGTAATATTAATATTGCTATGTTTTCTTTTTGGAATGTAGGTGTTTTGAAAAGAAAAATATTGGGACATTACTTGTAGTTTATTCATGATTTCTTTTCATTTGTTATGTTCTTACTATAACTGCATTCTTCAGAAATTAAATTACTCACATAATTTTCTGTTTTCAATTTTCGGATGGTAAAATTAGTTAAGAAAAGGGGGGGAATATGGTAACTATTTTTGCAAATGAAGATATCAGCTAAAAATATTTCTAGAGAGAGAGAGCTGGAATTCTCCTTAATGCAAGAATAAATTTTACCATGTCTGTTTTATAACTGCAGAATTGCTGTGAATAAAAATTCACAGTTGCAAGTAGTGCAGTGGAATTATTAATCCATTAACGAGCCGATCCCTCCGAACGAAATGCTCTTTCATTTTCTGAAATCTCTCTAAGATGGCCCAGCCTAGGACAGTATGTTCGCTTCCCCTTAGTGTGATGGATAAGGCATAAAATTGCCTCCCCGCTAAAGAATGGCAAGAAGTACTTGTTGCGTTAGTTTCGTCTCTCCTCTTTCTTTGTAATTGTAGCTTGTAGACTTGTTTATTTAATATGTGACGTCCGAATTTTCTGAAATCTTTTTAGAATTTTAGTTTTTAAGTTTATAAATTATAAATTTTCAATTATTCGACATGTTTTAATAGGCAGTATTTTAAGAAAGATCATTATTTATTTTGTTACACAATTTTTTTTTACTATTTACTTATCTATTTTATTTAGTTTTAGTAATACAAAAATTAAATTTTAATCCATTTTTTTACCGACGCAGTTTTTTTCACATTATATGTCCATATATATTCACGATAAGAGTACAATATTTCTCAGGAATGTTTGAAAAATTTGGCATACATTTATATATTTAGTGTTGAATTTTTCCCACAAGTCATTCATTAACAGTCAAGCTCATGCTCATAAACGCTTGATCTTTGCAGCATGGAATTGGCAAACAATAATCTTCCTAATGATAGTTTTTCGGGATTTTAAAGCAATTTCTAGAATTTTGGCGGTTTTCTAAAAATATTTTGGTAAGTTTAGCTATTATACAGTTGCTAGTAATATGGAATTTAAAACCAAAAATGTATTCTCTCGTTGATTTGAGAGATCGCATTTTGAATTTAAACGGAAGTTTAAATGAATTTGATGCAATCTTACCACAGACTAGAAAGAATTATTTCTCTGTGTTCAGAGGATTTTCTCACTTTTCCACATTTGATAGATTAAATGAATAAAGCAGACACGTATAAAATCCCTTTTGATTCTTACGGTTAAATTCTTTCTCCAATTAAATGAATTGTAGAATATTTTTTTTAACGTTCAAAATATTTTTGCTCGTATATGCATAAATTTAAAATCGTGGGACTCCCACTTACAAATTATATGACTAAATTACAGTATTTAAGGTAATAACTGAAATGACATGGAATATAAGAATAATTATAGTCAATTTAAATAAATTTCTATTCTATTCTAGTCTATTTAAATAAATTTCTATTTTATTCTAGTCTATTTAAATAAATTTCTATTCTATTCTATTTAAATAAATTTCTATTCTATAGTGAAAAGTCGTTAATTCGGACACCCATAATCCGGACCTCAAAGCTAAAAACTTTCTGCGCATGCGCCGCGTTGACACATGCGCATAGGCGTTTACGCGTGCGAGTAAGACCTTTTACGTCTGCGCATATGCGTGTGCGCAAGCGCAGAATACGTTTTCGCGTGCACGTTTTATGTATAACGGATGGTATAAGCTAAAATTATCTAATTATCTATTTCAGTTAATGTTGATGATTGCGTTGTTCCTTAATTTTCCAATCGGATCCGGCTTATTATTTTTTGCAGACAGCAAGAGCAATACTATAAAAGTAAACTTGAACTTTCGATTATGTCAAATAGAATTTTCGATTCTGGAGCTCCCAAAGGATTGTACAAAACGAAAGTATGTTTTGATGTCCATCAAACAAAAAAAAGTGGAATTGCTGCAAAAAAATGGATAAAAGACATGAAGAATGTGACAGAGAGGTTAGTGAAAATGAAAAAATTTCGATTGACAAGTTAATCGGTATTCTCGGCACAGCAATTAACGGGACTTGAACAGCGGAACTTTGTAACTGAACAAGAAATTATGTCTGTTTATAGAATTAAAGAGAAAGTATTATCACATAAAACGAAGCAACTTAAAACAACTTACATTGAAAGAAATGTTTAATAAAGTAAACAAATAAATATTAAGCTTTTTTTTTTTTTTTTTTTTTTTTTTTGTAGTAAATTTTGATACCCTTTAGATCATAATTGTTCTTTATTTCATAAAACGTTCATTTTTATTTAGAATTCGCTGCCATCTACAAAAACTATATTAACGAATTAAGTCCGCAGCCGGATAAACTTTATTTCTTAAATAAACATTTTTCATTAAATTTGCATTTACCCCCCAGTTTTTAATATGAATTCCGAATTTTAGGTTAACCATAGCCGTGGTGTTGCGTTCACGCAACGGTCAAAATAAATGCGTATATAAATATAACTACCTAAAATATTTTATACCAGCAGATGATTTTGTGTAGGGAATATTATGAAGATTATATCTGTAAAAAATATTTGCCTTCAACAATTCATTTTGTTTATAATAATTAATCTCATACTTTAAGCAAATTTAAGCAAAATTATCGACCGTGTATTTTTGCTGAAAATATTTAAAGAAAGAATCGCCGTCTTTATGAGTGATCTATTTTTAGTCAAGGTCACCGTTTATCAGAACATTACATCACTCAGATGTTTAAATTTGATTTGGAAAGGAAAGGAAAATAAGTGTTGCGCTGACGTCAGCAGGAAAAGGGTAGTCGATCTTCTTTTTCACTCATTCCTTTCGATGTTCTGGTTCATGTTCTGGTTGTTTAAAAATGCCTAGAACGAGGTATCTTACATTAGAAGAAGCCCTACCCTTCAAAGATTTTTTGATGAAGAAATAGATGATGATAATGTTAATAATGACCAGAATGAAACTGATATTGTTGTTGTTCCCCCAGAAATTGCAGAATCTGGTGGCGAACAAGAAAGGAATAGAATGTTTATAAGATAAAAACCATGTATGGGGGGTTAAATTCCGTAAAGAGTTCATCAAAGCTTTGTTGTAAAGTTTAAAAGCCAGACTATTTGAGGGAAAAAAAGTATGTATTAGTCAGGAAGAAATGAAAAAGTGAAGAAATTTAAAAGCAAACCAAGGTAAAACTAGTGCACAGATTTTCGATTTCTTTTTGGTTAGACATTTACTCTCTTCTCGTTGAACAGACAAATATATACGCTCAGCTAAAAAAAAAAAAAAAAAAAAAAAAAAACCAGAATTTATTTCATCTGAAGCCTATATGAGAAGATTTCTTGGAATATTATTGCTTACAGGATATCATTCTTTACCTCAAGAAAAAATGTATTGGTCTTTTGATAAGGACATTTCTGTTCCTGTTGTACAAGAGTTGATATCATGTTTGCAGTACAGGAATATGAAGCAGAATTTGCATTTGACAATAGTCAAATTGTCAATACTG